TCTGAGGTCTCATGCATGTACCTGCTAGTTGGGGCACTGAAGGATACAGACTGACAACGTGCTGGACCACAGAATGATGGAGGGGGTGATGGGTGGGACATCCACAGGGCCATGGAAAGGGGGCCTCATTCAATGAGTAATGGATACCAAATGCAGACAAAAACATCTGTGAAAAATATTCAGAATGTTGGATGGCCTGAGCAAGGACACAGAGGATCTCTTAATAGATTGAAATTTACAAAATCACTAGAAATGATTCTTTTTCCCCTCCGGGATTAACTCAGCGACAGTGTTCTCCTTAGCTCAGCAAAGAACTTTCCTAGACCATAGAAAAATGGTCTGCAACAGCTTTTTGATACACCGATATTTGCTGCACTTATTATATAGCAAGGAATAGGTACAAAAAATATTGGGTGCTCTGATGCAGAGGGCTTGTAGGACGGGGGAGAGGATGAGATGAGCAAACCAGCACATAATAATAATAATAATAATGATAATGATAATAGTTAACACTCTGTGTCTCGTTTTATGTGAGGTACTTCCTCACATTAACAGACACAAAGCCCAACTGAGGAGCTCTGACTGTGTAATGTTAACATGATGTATGGTTAGTCGGCCATTCAGGGAGGACCACATGAGGTGGGGGAGCCCCCTCCAATGATCCTGGCTCGTTTCTGCCATTCTTCTTCAGAGTGATTTGAACGACACTGGGAAATGCTCCATCTATAATGAATAGAATTTAATAATTGAGTAGTAGCCATTTAACTCTGTCTGAAAGTTGAGTTCTATTTTCCGTTCCAAGATCTGTGGCCCATCTCAGGCTGCCTTCTCTCTGTTCAGCTGTGATGATGAAAAAGTAAAATGATGCCAAAAAACTAGAAAGCATCAAATGTCAGCCCAGATACAAACACCCAGAGGGTGACAGTCATGCTGATCTCCGGACACTGGGCACCTCCCAGTCAAGCTGCTCCAAGTCATAGCAGCTCATTAAGCGGAATGGGTAGCAAAATCCTCATCATGAAGTTCCCGACACGAGCCCCACTCAGTTACTTATTTTGTTACTTTTCTTTAAGTGGTTATAAGCCCGCTTTTGACCAGATTCTAAAAGATGTGATTGGGGGCATTACCTTCTTGGACCATCTGGTTCTGCTATTGTTAGGGGAAAAGGGTCTTCAAAGATGTGACAGAGCAGTGGAGACACTCGGGCAATTCCACTGAGAAAGGAGCTCACTTTGGATAGAACTATTTTCCTATGTAGTCGTCCCCCCCCTTATCCATGGTTTTGCTTTCCACAGTTTCAGCTGCCCGCGGTCAACCTGGGTCCAGAAGCAGATGATCCTCCTTCTGACGGATGATCAAGAAGTCAGTAGCAGCCTAACACTACAGCCCAACGCTTACGCCATTCACCTCATGTCAAGTCATCACGTAGGCATTTTAGCATCTCACATCATCATGAGAGCGGTGAGTACAGAACAGTATTTCGAGAGATCCCATTCATATAACTTTGATTACAATATACTGCTGCAGTGGTTCTATTTAATTTTGTGGTTGTTAACCTCGTACTGGGCCTAATTTATAAGTTAAACTTTATCATAGGCATGCACATGTGGGAAAAAACATGGTCTACATAGGGTTTAGTACTATCTGCGGTTTCAGGCATCCAATGGGGGTCTTGGAAAGTACCCCCCTTGGAGAAGGCGGGGACTGCTGTGCCGTATTAGTGTCCTTCAGAATTACAGTTGAGGCTGGCGTTCCACACGTTCTGTCTGCAAATTCCCCATCCTTGGATAGAAATCTGACAGGAGTCTTGGCGCTGTGAGAACTGTGAACTTCATTGTAACTTGATTTGGGAAACTATCTGCGTTGGGTTTAATCTCTGTCATCTTACCTACATCAAGTCGGAAAACATATACCTGGGCCACAGCCTTCGGCTCTAGTTAGCACTGGGTAGAGGTTGAACAAACATTTGTCAAATGAATGAATAAACGAAGGAATGAATGATTTGGGTTCTCCCAACATTCCAGCCTGTCGAGTGGAGAGGGAGTAGGTTTTGGCATCAGCCAGATTCGGGTATGAATCCTAGTTTTGCTGCTGCTGCGTGCATTTTCTCCAGGCCCCTATGGGCTCTCCACAGCGAAAAGGGTGGCAGACTAGGGAAAGTGGCTGTGTTCATTTCTCATTGCTGCTGAGACAGGAACTACCCATAAATTACCACAAATAGTGGATCCAGACAAACAGATTTTTTCTCTTTCTTTCTGGAGATCCAAAGTCCAACATGGGTTTCACCTGGCTAAAATCCAAGTGTTCCTTCTGGAGGCTCCAGGGGAAGCATGCATTTCCCTGTCTTTTCCAGCATCTAGAGGCCGCCCACCTGCCTTGGCTTGCGGTCTCTTCCTCCATCAGCAAAGCCAGCAGCACAGCGTAACGTCTTTAAGTCTCTTTCTGGCTCTTCTACATCCCTTTTCTATCAGTAAGGACCCTTGTGGTGATGCTGGGTCCACCTGGACAGTCCAGGATCATCTGTCCATCTCAAGGTCCTTTCCTTAATCACATTTGCTTCTCACTGGTCTTTCCACAGTGGGGCAATGGAATGGTCTGGGCTCTTCCAAGGACTCCTTTTTCTTGTTGTTTTTAGGGAGAAAGAGAGCACAAGCAGGGAAGAGGGGCAGAATGAAACAGAGAGAGAGAGAGAGAGAGAGAGAGAATCCCAAGCAGGTTCTTCGCTCATTGTGGAGCCTGACGTGGGGCTTGGTCCCACAACCCTGGGATTTTGACCTGAGCCGAAATCAAGAGTCAGATGCTCAACTGAAAGAGCCACCCAGGCGCTCCCCTCCCTAAGACTCTGGTTTTTGTCAGATAGTGTCAACTCCACCCAGCCTGGTTGAGTGTTCACACACGTGGATGTGCACTTCTCCAAACAACCTTCCTCTAATGGTCATCTTGAACTCAGTGCTACACACCACCTATCAAATCTTGGTTGGGAGAAACACCATTCAAGGAAACCCACTCACCTGAGAGATAGGCCGCCCAAAGACACCTTTAAACTCTCTATAGGTTAAGCCAGACCACATCCTTTTGACCCCAAGATACCTGCTTTCACTAATTTTGCTTTACTTTGGCACTACTGGATGGCATTAGGGGCACAGCATAAGAAAAACACCACAGAAATCGTTGCATGTATTATAACAATCTTGTTGAGGACAGTTTATTGCCTATTGGCATACATTTCTTATGAGAAGCCTCAGAGAACTATTTCCCCAAACTTGAAACCCAGTACTGGGTACGGTTTCCCCTAGTAACTGGTTTGTTACCGTCCAATGAACACTAGCTTGCAGGGCTGGTAGTTTTTCCCTCTTCACGCTATTAGGAAGCAAGTGTCCGCTTCAAAGCTTTAGGACGTCAGAGTCTGCATTATGGGCACCGACTTGTCTTCCTACCTTATCATCCCTTCCCCCAGTTTGCCTTCATCTGTTTCACACTTTGGGTCTGACTGTTATAGTGTCTAGAAGCCCCGAATAAGGCATGGTAAAACCTTTTGTTATTTCCCAAGGTTTTCTTCCATTTTGTGAGACACGTGCCCCCGATGCATGCCTCTTTGTTTCAGGAACAAACTCAAAATGAAAAATAAATAAATAAATACACAAACGAAACATCATCAGCGCCAATGTTTAAATAGTGGTTCTCAGCAGAATGGGGTTCGGCACCACTGTAAAGATGGGAGCTTATGTTGTTAATAAGAAAACAAGTCTCTGGCACTTGGTATGCTGAGCACACTGAGATCAGAAATGCCAGCATTCTAAATGGCTTGCTCACTGTTAGTAGATTCACTGGCACTGAAATCCATTTCTTTTCTAAGGATGTTTAGCTTTTATTATGTCTTTACTCATGGTCAAAAGACATCGGCAAATTTGCTAAGGTGATTAAAGATATCCCTTAAGTTTCACATCTTTGCCTTCACGTTTTTGCATGTGAGTTCGTCTTCTTGGAGAGCAAAACAGAATTGCGCTTTACACCACATAGGGTTTTGATAGTTGTAGGAAGCCCAGATAAGGAAAGAATGGAAGTTAGCAGAACCTCTGCTGAAAACATCTTTATGACAGACTCAACGGTATGAGTTCGTTTCTGAGCTCATCAAACCACAAAATCACCAATGCTGAGAGCAAACCCTACTAAAAGGTGACTCAGGACCTTCTCTTTTTAATCTCCAACCCACAGAATCCAGAACATAGTACACATTCAATAAACATTTGTTGAATTAATGAGCCGTCTCATGCTCAGAAAGACTAGAGTTCTACTCCGACCCCAGTAGACCGTGATGGGAACACAGCGCTTACCACATGGCAGGCATGTGATACGTACTGAGTGCCTGGGGCTGAGACACAGCCAAATCCTGGAAGAAATTCCTGCCATCCTTGAACTGCAGAGCAGCAACTTTGTATTTCCATTATTTCTCCTCTGACCAAAGACATACCTGACAGGTGATATTAGCATGTTCAACTGCTCTCACAGACATGCTTAGGTTTCTGTGTGATTCCCATGCTTATACAATCTCCATTCACCTCTCCCACGCAAGAAAATATATCAGAACACAAATGAATAAGGATGTCATTAACATGGGAACAACCTAAAACCCACAGAAACTTACTAAGAAGTAAATCATCCACCATTTTGGTGCTTCAGATAATATTAGTAGTACATGACTTATAAGCCATTGCCCAATGACTGAAATAATAGTCCACTGTGATAGCAAGACTGAAGCCATCTCTGAGACCCACTAAGCCCTAACATGCCATCTTGGAGACCTTTTCAAACTGCAGAGGCTCATTCTACCCCCAACGCAGTCACCTATATGAGCCATGCACGTGTTGCTTCATCCAGAACCACAGAGATCATCTCTACTAATGGACATAATTCACATAAGAACCTCACTGTCAATTGGATATCAGTCCACCTTCACCACAACAATTTTGAGGAAGAAGACGCACGACCCACCAACTTACCACACCACCGCCCGCTGAGTGCACGAGCACAGACATTCCTTCTCGGAGGTTGGCAACTTCGAAGAGCATCATATAGGCCGTGACGAAGTTCATGGGGAAGGCAGCAGCCTCTGAGAAGCTCATGTCTTCTGGGATCTTGTAGACAAATTCCACTGGTGTGCAGACCACCTCTGCCCAGGCATTGTAATTCACAAACGCCATGACACGGTCCCCGATCTGGCCATGGGGAAGCACAGGATTAATGGAAGCTTCCTACTCATTTTTGAAAGATTTCTCAACTACCTGACGAAAACTATAGATTCTGTCCCAGAAAAAAAAAAAGCCCAAACCCTCAAATACGCACACCCTCACCTGCCTCCCAATTCCAAGGCATTTGTGGATGCTCTGAAGCCCATCTATGAAAATTTGCCAGGAGCCCTGGAAGCCAGTTCCCCACCTGCCTTCTGAAGTTCTAACATGCAATGTCATCACATCACACACCATGGAATGTTGGTGTCAGAAACTCATTTTACCAACTCAGCCTGTCATTTTATCTCTGTTTCAGAGTTGAGGAGAACTAAGCCATAAGGAAGTTGAAATGGGCAAGGATGGGTTATCTACTCTCATCTGTTTTCTGCTACTCCAACTGGTCTCCCTGCCAGGCTAGTTTATTGGGGTATTTGCCTCAAAGGTTAGCACTGGGTTACCGATCACAGTAGATATGAAATGTGGTGCCTCAGAAGAGCCACGTAAATCTAAGTGCAGGAGACTTTACAAGAACAGCTAGACTTAGAGCAAAATAGGGAGATGCCACCAGGTTTGAAGAACAACTAACCCTTTTTTGGACACGTATTTTATGGCAGGCATTGTCCTAAGGGTGTCACATGTTTTAACTCATCTCATCTTTACAAACTCCTATGAAGGCATGGCTGAGTATGTGTTCTTTTTATCAGATGTTTGCATAGCCAGACATCATGCGAAAAATGAAAGTGTATTCTTCCCTTTAAAGTCATTAAGATGAGGGGCGCCTGGGTGGCGTAGTCGGTTAAGCGTCCGACTTTCGCTTAGGTCACGATCTCGCGGTTCGTGGGTTCGAGCCCCGCGTACGGCTCTGTGCTGACTGCCAGCTCCGAGCCTGGAGCCTATTTCAGAGTCTGTATCTCCCTCTCTCTCTGACCCTCCCCTGCTCACGCTGTCTCTCTCTCTCCTAGAAATAAATAAAAAAATATTTAAAAATAAATAAATAAATAAATAAAATAAAGTCATTAAGATGAGATGCTGTTTCTTCATAGCATATCATTATCAAAGGGAGATACAAATAAGTGAACTGACATTGATAGCCCGAATGAACTGCTGAGTGCTGGTGAAGTTGAACCACTCTGCTATTTGGTGTCAGTTGCTGTGTAGTATGACTTTCAAATGCAGTGTTCAAATTGCTGTGGTCATAGTGAATTTTCAATAAATGAGTGGCTTTCATATACATGTGCTTTAGTTTTGTATACTTAAAACTGAGCCTCCTGTTTCATCTTCTCTGTAGCTTAGCATTTCTCTTCTTCCCCTCCTCAACAAACAACAACAAAAGCCTCCTATGACATGGGTGTGTGAGGGCTCACATTACAGATAAATGATTATAGATTTTACAGACATTTCAATTGAGGCCCAGAGAGATGAAGGCACCTGTCCAAGGTCATGTAGGTAGGGAGTAGCTGAGCCAGGAGTTGAGTCTAGCAAGAATGACTGATTCATCACACCTGAAGTTCGTGCTACAGAGAAGACCTAGTTTTCTAAAGACGTACCCCAGGGAACCTACCACTTTTGCGAGTATTGGTGTAAGTCTTTAAGTCTCCGTTTCTTCAGCTGTAAAATGAGTATATTAGGAAAGCGTCCTTACCGAGATGAAATAACACAATATGCATGCAGTACACTTGGCATTGTACATGTAAAAGCGAGGAAAGAACTATCAATGTTAAGTTCTCAAAGGAACAGATTGGTTCCTGGCCTCACGGAACTCACAGTTCAATGATCGCACACTAAATACAGACCTACTGTCTTTCACGAAGTAGAAGGAATAGCTATCTAATGAAAGAACTGACGGAAAGGAGATGCTATTCCCCTGGCAGCAAGTACCCCAATTCTGGAAAGGCTGAAGGCCAAATTATGAACATTGGGAATTATCATCATAAATGCAACTCCTTGGCCCAGAGGATAACCAAGGTCAAGGTCTAACACTGGCATTCTCTTTTGCACTGAATCATGCAAACCAATGATCCACAACACCATGGAGTAGCTGATGGCCTCCAGTGTCAACACAGAAGGCAATGCAGAGTAGTTTAACCACCCTGACAGTGGTGGTCACAGGCATCACAGCAGGGCTGACTGCTCCAATCTCTTACTCCACTTTGCTCCATGAAAATGGCACGAGAGGCTTGGCCATCAGATCAGCCCGAGCCTGAGTCCAGAGGTAGGTAGCTTTTTTTTTTTTTTTAAATATCCAATTGACCTCATTATTTGATTTCGTTAATAAAAAGAAATTAGTCCTGGGCGACTGAGCCCAAATTATTCCTTTACCATTGTACCTCTGGAGACAACTTTTCAAGCCTCCCTTGCAATGGATCAAACCAAGAAAGCTATTCAGTGTGTTGTCCCGTGAAATTCCATCTCTAATATTAGTATTATTGGTTTTCCCCCAAGTCACGCCCTCAGTGGAAACCTGTAGGTGGCTTCTTTCATTTGTCTGTGCAGCTACAAGTCACTGGAGGGGAGCAGGGGTGAGGAGTAGGATTGACAGTAAGCAAGCCAGGCCTAAGCAGCAGAAGAAAGATCACATATAAAGGGAAAAATACATAATCAAGCATCATACCTCCTCCCTCTAAACCAAGGCCAATGGCATCCCTGTCTACTGTTAATATTCTAAAATAATGGGTTATTTATGCAATGCTCAGGATTAATAGCATTATTAGTATGATTCTTTCCTTTGGCACCAGATGGAGGAGTGAAGAATAGATAGTATTTCTCTTTGGCAGCACTTTTGGGGAGAGATGGTGCCGCCACTGATTATGTTGCTTACCTGGGAGTAGAAAATGCAAAGTCATATGAAAAAAAGGAAAAAAGTGCATTCACTTCTTCCTTAACACTTTTCTGCTGGATTATCTGAAAACCAGTGACAAAATGATGAGTAGGATAAGATTTTCAGACATTCGTCACAATGAATTTGGAGCACACTGATATTTTCAGGGTGTATGGAGGCTCAGATGCATTGAGCCTGAGCTGCAGGCTCAAATTCAATGCCAAGAGCATTCCGGCATTCCTTTTATAGGATTTTCCTTCCTGCATTTAGCCCTGCAGCATTTGCAGATTGGGAGCAGGTATGAAGGTCATGGGATTGTAAGAAGAGTAGGTTCCAGATTCAGCTACCTTTGTGACCTCACAGGAAACAACCGCACCCTTCTGAACTTCATCTCCAAAGGGATAATAATATTTACCTCACAGTATTGTGCTAAGACGGGAAAAGGATGACTTGCCTATGTTTCTGGTTATGGTGGATTCTCAAATGTGAGCTCCGTTCATTTCTCCCTGGGGAAGCACTTAAGTTATGAGCGAGAGCTCTCCTCCAAACTCCTGCTGCAATTTTGTGCGATTGATTTGCCCACAGTTTTTCAGTTATTAGAGACTCGATTCTATTTGATTTGCATTACAGTGGTAGGAAGGGTCATATATCTTTTCATCGATTAAAAATTGTTTATTGTGGAGAATTTTAAACACGTACAAAATAGTCAGAAAAATATAATAACTCTTTTTCTCTGCTGCCCTATTCCCAAAGCCATCAACCCATGGCCAATTCTGTTTCACTGGCAGGTGTTTCTCCCCTTCGCCTTTAAAATCATCATTTAAAAATGTCACTTCTCCAGTGTCTGCAGTAATGATTTATAAATGATTACTTAAATGCATCAGTTAGGTAGATATTTAAAGGAACCCAATTATGAAATACAGTGGATAGTTCTCCCCAACTTCCATGTCTTGTCAATGGTTTTTGAGCCTGAGATGCTGGGGAAATGGGGGCCCTGTGTAGAGAGAGGGAGTAGGCCCATCTGGTTGATCCAAGGCTAGACGGTCTTGTTCAGCTGTATTACTTGAAGAAAAGAGAAATTTTCTTTTCCCTGGCCACTTCACTAGACTGTGGCCAGGAGCAACCAAGATGGTACACGACAAATGCTCAGGGTATGTGGAAAATCCATCATTTACAAACATTGTTAATAAACCCTAACAATAAGGTAGGACATTAGCCAAAACGTTACCTCGTATCCTTTCACACTGTCCCCCAGAGCTTCCACGATCCCAGAACACTCAAATCCGGGCACCAGGGGAGTCTTGGGAGGGTTATCGATGTTCCCTTGTCGTACCATCAAGTCAATGAAGTTTAATCCACTGTGAAGGACAAAGGTGAAGAGAGAGACATTAAAAGTGAGATCCAGGAGAACGCACTGACCTGACTCTTCTTCCATCCTCTCCTTGTCCCTATTTTCCTTGTCCCATTCCTCCCTCCATTTTTTTTTTCTTCCTCGCAAAATGTGCCTAATAGTAAGTCGTTTGGCTGGACCTCACTAATAAAGCAACACAGTTATCTCTCTCGATGAGGGATGTTTTCCTGGCAGTTAAAATAGCCATCGCAGAGGCGGCCCTCCAATTCAAAAGACTCCCCCCGCCCCCCCCCCGTCCCCTCAGGGCCTGCTTACTCTTACTTTAACAACACGTACTCAATAGCCCAGTTATTAGCCCTTAGCTAGCACTTTATCAGGAGTAAAAAAATATATACTAGGAAGAAGTTAAAAGAAGACACATGGAAAGCAGCCAGACACAATGGCCATCAGTCAATCTACTGAGAAAGAGAAAGAGAAAAGACAAATTTAAAAGGTCTGGGAACAACTGTCACACATCAGTCATCACAGACACTCCTAACAGCACTGTGTCATATACAGCATCCATAATGGCGAATATGAACCATTGAGAGACTATGCTATGTCCAACAGGTGGACAGTAACTAGAAGACGTGAGATCAAACGGATAGACCAATGGGATATGGTAATACTAGAGAGATTGTTTCAAAAATCTTGGGTCTCTCTGGATGAGAGAGATCATTTCTATTAACATATTACATTTGAAATAGGAATGTTATCGTTAAGATATATTAAGCCATCTCCTTGGAAAACCATATACTTGATTTTTGTGACAATGCCAGTGCTCTAAACTGTTTTCTTTTTAAGAGCTACTCTCGGAAACTGCATCGAATACTCATTAACTAATCAAATGAGAAAACACATCCCAAGAAATGTGTATTTTTTTCCCACCGGATGCGCTAACGTACTTCCTGTTTTCATAAGCCACCATTCTACGAAAGTCTCAGGTTATAGAAACCAAACTCTTCCATCTGGCCCATTAGCATCTGGCCACAGCTTCTTTTCAAAGCAACACTGCTCCAACTACTTTTAAAACACAGCCTGTCATTCCTCTCTCCACCTCTTTGGAGCCAAGGAAACATCAAATGCTACCTATAGCTCCTGGCATCCACTCATCAGTCTCCTCCATAGAGAATGGACAATGGTAAGGATGACTTCCTTGAAAGGTGGGCTCAAGAGTAGCCACCTTCTCAAAGTTCTCCTGTGCACACATCAGGCAAGTTTCACAATTGCCCCGGCTGAAGTATCACTAATGTGTGTCCCCCTTGAAGGCAGCTGCATGCCTCGTATTTCTTTGCTTCCAGAGTGCCTGGCACACACCAGGCCCACAGCAACATAGCAGGTACTCAAGAAAATCTGCTGAATGAAGGAATATTTGTGAGTATTCAAAAACAGGTGCTGCCAGATTGAGTACTAACTCCACACTGGTGCAGTCGCTCTGGAAAACAGTATGGGGATTTCTCCAAAAATTAAAAATAGAACTACCCTCCAACCCAGCAATTGCATTACTAGGTATTTATCCAAAGGATACAAAAATGCTGACTTGAAGGGGCACATGCACCCCAATGTTTATAGCAGCACTATCAACAATAGCCAAATTATGGAAAGAGCCCAAATGTGCATCAAATGATGAATGTATAAAGAAGATGTAGTGTGTATGTGTATATATATATATATATACACACACCATATATATATGGTGTATATATATATACACACACCATATATATATGGTGTATATATATAATATATATCATATATGTAGGTATATATATGGTATACATAGAGATATATATACACACACAGTATATATGTATATATGGTATGTATGTGTATATCATATGTATATGTATGTACATATCATATGTGTGTATATATATGTATATGTGTATACATATACATACCGCTTCACATATACGTATATATAGTGGAATATTGCTCAGCAATCAGAAAGAGTGAAATCTTGCCATTTGCACCAACATGGATGGAACTAGAGGGCATTATGCTAAGCAAAAGAAGTCAGTTAATGAAAGACAGATATCATGGGATTTCACTCATATGTGGAATTTGAGAGACACAACAGATGAGCATAGGGGAAGGGAAGGAAAAAGAAGATAAATAAAAACAGAGAGGGAGGCAAACCATAAGAGACTCTTAACTACAGAGAACAAGCTGAGGGTTGCTGGAGGGGAAGTGGGTGGGGGGATGTGTTAAATGGGTGCTGGGCATTGAGGAGGGCACTTTTGGGATGAGCACTGGATGTCCTATGTAAGAGAAGAATCACTGGTTTCTACTCCTGAAGCCAAAACTGCCCTGTATATCAACTAACTTGAATTTAAATTAAAAAAAAGAAAAGTGGCCAAGGGAGGCTCTGAGTAACAGACACATTTCTGAAATGTGCATGGTGACTTCCAGAGATCTACTTTAATGGCTAATAGTTCTGAGGGTGGATGATTAACCAAATTGTTCTCCAGTAGCGTGGCCACTTTCTTAAGAGCTTGGAGAGACCTGAGCACAATTTCCAGTGCCATCACTTCTACCCTTGTAACCTTGGACAAGTTCCTTAGCCTCTGTGAGCCTCCATTTCTTCGTCAGTAAAATGCAGGCTGTGGTAGTACCTGTTGCACAGGGGTGTCGGGAAAATTAATGACAGTTAAACACTAAGCACAATGCCAAGTATGAAGTAAGTTTCAATAAATGCTAGCATTTAAATGTGCCTCTTAAGGAGCACAAGTACATGATACGTTTTAGGAAGACTCCCATTAAATAAGGGTTAAAAATGGTTTCAGAGCTGCAATGGGCAAACTTCGCTATCCAGGAGGCTTCCCTTCCGTGAAAGAGCCCATTTTCCTAAAAAACCAAATAAACAAAGCATCACTGTATAACAATAAAAGGAATTTCTACACTCCCCCAATCAAGCACTTTGTCTCATTTCACGCATATTTTAGCTCACTGTATTTTCCTCTGTGTGAAAACCTATGATTTCCCAAGACCCTGATGGAGAAATGCCAGAAGAAATTGCTTGACAGTTCTGTACACGTGCTCGTTTTCTGGAGAAGGTCTCACCCTAGATGCTTGTTATGCTATTAAATTGGGCTGCCTTCAACCCCCATCCAGCATGAAGTGGGCTTGCTGCTTGTAAACTGAGAGTCACCTATTCCATTCCAGAGAGAAGGGCTAAGTAAGACTGCATTTCTAAAGCCTGCAGTGTCCCATTCCCACAGTGAGGCACGCAGCAATTCCATCAAGGTCATGGAGAAGGCCGCCCGGGCTTCTGGAAGGAAATGCGAAGTGGGTATGTGCCAGGGGACAGGAGACAGGTCAGTGTTTACCTCCACACAAAGACGGGGGGAACAGTTGTTAAGGGAGTACATTTCCGTGTGGTACCAGACCCGATTCAGGGTGCCTGCCCACGCACCAGCTCCTGATTTGGATACAGCTCGCATTTACTGAGGGTTCAATTTGTGGCAGGAACAGTGCTGAGTGCTTTCCTTTTGTGACTGAAGATTCAACAGTATTCCTATGAAGTGGGAACTGTCACATCAATTTTTGAGATGAGAAAACGGAGACTAAGCAAGATTAAGTAACCTCACATCTTTACAAACTGTCCAAATCAGGCTTTGCAGGCCAGCAAAGTCTAGAACGTGAGCCCTTGCATACACCATGTTGCCTCTTCCTGGGAACTTCACTCACCACCCTTGCTGAAGCGACACATCCAAGGGGCCATGATTGTAACTTCTTATCCCTTGGACAGCTGATTGCGGGAGGGGCGGCCCCAGTGCTGGAGGAGGGGCCCGTCCTAACCTAAGCAGCCTTCCATTTCTTCGTCTGAAATAAATAAGCTCATCTGGGGCGCCTGGGTGGCTTAGTCGGTTAAGCGTCCGACTTTCGCTTAGGTCATGATCTCGCGGTTTATGGGTTCGAGCCCCGCGTCGGGCTCTGTGCTGACTGCCAGCTCAGAGCCTGGAGCCTCTTTCAGTCTGTGACTCCCTCTCTCTGACCCTCCCCTGCTCACGCTGTCTCTCTCTCTCTCCTAGAAATAAATAGTTTAAAAAAAATTTTTTTTTAAATAAATAAGCTCATCTAAGAACTAGATGTTCTCTCAAAAACTCTGAATTGGGAAAGATGCAGCAAGAAAACAACTTATTGACAGAAAGGACACAGAAAGATAAAAACTGAGCGAAAGGGACCTACTGACCTGCGCCCTGGGGAAGCATGAGTGACAAAGCCAGGATGTAGGGAAATGAGAAGGAAAGGACAAAGAGCAGTAGAAGCAGCTCAACAGCCTGTCACAGGATGGACTTGAAAAAATCCATTGCCAAGTTGCCAAGAATGCAAAGGTCCAGTCTCTGTGCTCGGTGAGGCCCAGGCCCAGCGCGCCCCCTGTCCTCTGATTGTCATGAATCCCTTTGCTACTCCACACCTGTCCTTAGAATGCAAGCTCTCTGTTTGGGTTATGCGTGTGGTCCCTGTCTCATGAAACCAAAAGATACAAACTAAAGCAAATACCGTAATCAATAACCCTAAGTCAGCCACTGGACGGACATGACTGACCTCATTTTAAAAAATGTTTATTGGGGCGCCTGGGTGGCTTAGTCGGTTAAGCATCCGACTTTCGCTTAGGTCATGATCTCGCGGTTCGTGGGTTCAAGCCCCGCGTCGGGCTCTGTGCTGACTGCCAGCTCAGAGCCTGGAGCCTCTTTCAGTCTGTGACTCCCTCTCTCTCTGACCCTCCCCTGCTCACGCTGTCTCTCGCTCTCTCCTAGAAATAAATAAAACATTAAAAAAAAAATTTTTTTTTTAATGTTTGTTTATTTATTTTGAGGGAGAGAGTATGAGCAGAGGAGGGGCAGACAGCACAGAGCCTGATGTGGGAATCAATCTCACGAATCATGAAATCATGACCGGAGAGAAGTCAATATTCGAACGCTTAACCAACTGAGCTGCCCAGGTGCCCTGACCTCATTTGTT